AGGCTGTAACACACCTTACATTGACAATCACAGACGCCATACAACAGACTATACCGACACTGGACTCGAGAACAACACCAGCCAACGACTTGCCAGAACATATTTTATTGAAAATAAAACTTAAAAATCATAAAAAGAAACTGTGGCAACGTACCGGTGACAGACTACTCAAGGAACATGTGAACAGACTGACAAAAATTATTTCCAATGAAATACGAGACCACCGAAACAACACTTGGACCAAAAGACTCGAGAACATAAATACTGACCCACACAAAATTTGGCAAACAGCAAAAAGACTGACGCGGAAGCCAGCATCCATACCTCCACTCAAATTAACTGACAACAATTACGCAACGACACCAGCAGACAAGGCGGAAATATTAGCAAAAAACTTTGAGAACACACATAAACAAAATGCCAATATGTCAAACGCAGACCTGTAACAAGACGTACACGAGACAATTCAGAACTTCACTGACCTCCACAGGGACAAAGACTTACGAATAGACCCTGTCACAGTTTCCGAAATAAAGACAATAGTTAAAAAATTACCGAACAGGAAAGCACCAGGATCGGACGGACTACAAAACATAATACTTAAACAACTGCCGACGAACGCCTACATTTTACTTACCCGCATAATAAATAGACTAATGACAAAAGGCTGCTTTCCCGCTTCTTGGAAAACCTCCACCATATTTTCAATAGTGAAGCCAAGGAAACAGCCAGACATACCACAGATTTACAGACCGATCAGCCTCCTCAACACAATGAGTAAGGTAGCACAAAAGACTTAACAAACACATAAGACACAACAAAATTATACGTGACACAGAATACGGATTCAAAGAACGACACTCCACACTACACCCACTGACAAAACTCATAAAAAATACAGTTTTCAATTTCAACAGACGAAACCATACCGGATTGGTGTTACTCGACTTTGGGAAGGCGTTTGACACCATATGGATGGACGGACTTATACATAAACTTATCCAACTCAACTTTCCACCATACATTACAAGAACATTACACTCATACCTCTCAGACCGCAACTTTACCGTACAAGTAAACAACGGACTTTCGACGGTTAAGCAAGTGACGGCGGGAGTACCGCAGGGCTCGATCCTGGGACCGTCACCGTTGAACGTCTACATTCACGACATACCCACTGACGCCGACACAACGTTACTGACGTTTGCTGACGACACTGCCATATACAAATCATCACGATCGCCTACGCTACTGACTAAAAAAATACAGACACACATAGGCAAGCTAACTGACAAATTGCAAATTAAGATCAATCCAAAAAAGACAGAGGCAATTCTATTTACAAATAGTCGAAATGCCACGACTAGACTGACTGACTTAGACAAAATTAAAGTATTGGACTGTGAAGTTGAGTGGTCAAAGGATTCAAATATCTTGCTGTGACCCTGGACCATAGACTCAGCTTCACAAATCATATTAATACGAAAATCGGACAGGCTTACGGGATGTTAAATCTACTGCGACCTCTCTTGAACCACAACAGCCCGCTAAGCGTGAAGAACAAGCGGACACTTTACTTGACACTAATAAGACCGTTACTGACATACACCGCTCCGGAATGGAACTCGACAACTAAGGCTAACTTACGGAAACTACAGACATTACAAAATAAGACACTACGACTCGTACTCAACAAAATAAGGGACCCACAGACTAGACATTACTACTCTTCAAAATACAAAACGACGTACCAACAATACTCGACTATATAAAAAAGCTCTCCGAAAATTTTTATCTAAAATGCGGGAATCATCCTAATACTAACATCGCGGGCCTCTGCCAATACACTAGAGACTTGATTTGGTATGGCAATCACGCCATGCCAAACTATATACTGATCGACCCGTAGCGGCAAATGATACTTGGCTCGACACAGAACTTCTTTCAGTGCGAGTAAATCTATTATTTTTCTTATTTTTGAATAATTATAAATATTGCTCTGTGGCTTTTTTTGGTGGAAAAGTTTTCTTTCCTCTTTTTTTTTACCACTCAATTTGTCACACATCTCGCTGTAGTAACAATAAATATTTACTGTATATATTAAGATCAGATATGATGTATAAAGTACCCAAGGGTAGAAAAATATGTACTAAAAATAGCAATGCAAAACGTATTCTTAATTACTGTAATAAATACTTTTGTCTGTCTGTCTGTCTGTATTTTGTCAATACAATCAAACTGGAAGATCCAATCCAAGTATTTTTTGTTCTTTCGACTTATTGATTACGTTTCATGTTTTTCAGATTTTTTTTGGATTCCGGATTTTGTATAGAATTGTAAATAACACTACTGAGCTTATACAACATTTTCAAATTTCTGCGAGAAGAGATAGAATATGCATTAAGTATTTCTTCTTTGACCTGCTTTTTGGAAAGTTTCAAATGAAAAAAAAATGAAAAAAGTAAATTAGATAAAAAGTATATATGTAGCGCAGAGCGAGGAACAAAGGTTTTGAAAACCAAACCAATTATATGACAACAAATAACACATTTCAAACAAACAATTATGTGACTACGTTCTGCCAGCTACTTTATCATTGTAGAAATGTGCTTTTTTGCAGTCTTTCAACAATTTGTTATCTAGACCTTATTACCCTATAGGCGGAGTAACTTGGAACGGCCAGGTGGCAAACAGGTTTACGTCTTATTTTAATTTTAAAGGTATTTTACAAAGTAATCACATTTTTAACTAAAAAGCTACCAACGGTAAAAAATACTTTTATTATGGATTTTCAAAGATTACCGTTTATATCCCTACTCTCAAATATTGTTGTTAAACAATACTTTACTGGTTTTTGACACATCGGTGGTGGACCTTTTTAACCCCGGACCTTCATATATTACTATCTATTTTTTGATAAATTCTGGAAAATTATAACTAGGAAAATGTTATTCGACAAAATGTCCCTTTGATCAATACTAAATTTAGGTTCTGAATTTAAATAACAAATAAAAATTAATATAACCTAGAAAATGTTTTATAAATACCAAAAAGTATATAATTATCCAAATGAAATCTTTCAGAGCACAGTGTTTGAGAAAAATATGCTAAAAAGTGCATTTTCATATTAACGTTTCAAAAAAGTTGATATTTTGAGATTCTAGTGACACTTGCAATCCGTTTAATAACGTTTATGTGTATAAAAATAACTACGAACAAAACTACTTACTGCAATTTAATCATAATTAAATAATATTCACGTAAAACATCCTATTAAACGTAATTGAACATCATCTGTCAAGAACGTTTGACATTTGACGTATTAACCACCGTCTATTGTTTTATTTAAATTACGCTTCTACAAAAATTTTCAAATTAAATATGTGAATTTTCTAAGCGGTTTTGGAATAATTTCTCACCTTTCTCTGGATTGGCACGAATTTTTCAAGACTAAGACTGGCCAAATCGATTTAGCCGTTTTCGAGTTTATTATATATATATATATATATATATATATATATATATATATATATATGGCCGAAGTGAGCCATTTATTATTTATTAATTATACCTTGAAATGAAACCGCAAATATCTGATGTAGACTCGTTGATAATGTGAGTTTATTGATAACTCAACTTATAACGGAACTGATATTATATAAATTTAGATATCAATTTTTATCCCGACAATTGATCGATTATTAAAACCGCGAGACATCATTTCTCGATCGTGAAAAAACAATCATCTCACTATAGCTTGCTACATGCGATATTCTCATCAGCGCAGCTCCAAGTAAGCTGTGTATTTTGGTCATCAAATTGGCGTCAATCAATTGACATCTGTCATGAAACAAAATTCCTTCCGCCATATATATATATATACTCGTATATATATATATATATATATATATATATATATATATATATATATATATATATATATTGATTGTTTCTTTTCCGAACAGTCGTATTAAACATCTTCAAAAAACAAATTGTTTTTTATTATTGGATTTACTGTTCGGAAAAGAAACAATCAATATATTGAAAAATTCCAGGACTTATCTATTGAATATATATATATATATATATATATATATATATATATATAATATATCTTAAATTAAAAAATTACAAGAAACACTACTTTCTCGAAATTCTTAAATTTTAACACTAATATATCTTAAAAACACATAACTTGTAAATAATTATTTACAACTTGTAAATAATTATAATTAATCATTGAAAAAAAACACTTAGTGTCAGTGATCACTTTTTTATAAAATATTATTCAGAAATTAAATAACCGAGATGTCGTTCATCTGAGGCAATGTTAATTTCTGTAAAAGTTGTAAATGTGCAAAGCAAAATTAAAAAAAAAAAACTTCGCACTTGTTTGCAATATAAGAATACAAGGATGTATACAAGTGTGTGTGATAGTATTGAACATATGAGTGTTATAGGTTTTTGATACTTTGGACACATTATTTAGAACATATTAGTAGTTTTTGCAGTGGAAGCTAGTATCATTAAGTTTATCAATACTAAATTTCTCCAAAAAAATCAATGCCGATTCAGAAAAGCGTCTTTGTGAGACATTTGACTCGTGATAAAGAACCTTTGCGTCATAAAAATTGAACGTATGGTTGTTAAGTTTCAAATGTTCAGTGATAACCGTTTGCCCTTGATTTTTGTTTTGCAAATTATTATCGCGTTATTTTAGGCGTATAATAAGATTCTGTACTGATACGCCAATATAAGTAGAATCGCAGTTGTTGCACGAGATCTCCACTAGTGCGCGGCTTCAAATTAAGGGAAAAGAGAATTAAGTGTTAAATCGATGTTACTTTTCTCAAATTTGGAGCCGCGCAATAGAGAATTATAAAATTGTAAGTATACCCACTCTATAATATTGAAATTTCTTCGAAAAAATCAAATTGGCGCTAAAATAAAATGCTTTGCACATTCATTTTATTTATTACTTGAAACAATATTATACTTACCAACAACGTTATATATAACCTCATCTTCTTCTTCGATTGGTGGGGCTTCTGTTTGGTCTTGTATATCGTTTCTTTTGACACGATTCTTAATACTCGTAGTAGTAGTGCCTGGCCATGTTAATAACGACAGCACATTTTCAGTTCCATACTTTTTCTCAAACTTTAAATATTCTTCAGTTATTATAAAGTCTAGATTTGGATCTTGTGGGTCAACATCGATTATCTGTTAAAGATTTAATTTTTTCAATAGACTTTCATTAAGTTTCAAAATGGAAAAAAATAAATTGTTCAAAAAAGTCTTTTTTTCAAAATTATCAAAATTCTCAAAAAAAAAATTTCTAAAAATTTAATTTTCGGTAAGGAAAGGACAGTAATTTGCCTTGAGGCACGATGCCATTTGCGCTGCTTCCAAACGAACTCTTTGAAATTGCAGCCTACTACTAGCGTTGCTCGCGGGTATACTGACTCATCCTTTTTTCAATTTTCCATTATGTTCCATAAAATTGATTTAAACAATATATGCAGTACTAGATGAAAAAACAACAGGCTTTCAAATAAGCTAATTCGATATTGGTCCAACAAAACGCACAACTCGAAAATATCAATTAAAAAAATATTTTTAATAAATGATTATTTGGCATTGATTGTTCTACATAATGTGGTCCAAGCCAATGTGAGTAGATACATATTTTCAGTTTTTTTTTTTTTGGTTACGCCAAAATGTGAGTTTTAAACAAGAGGCCACTTTGACATATTTTCAGTGATATTCAGTGATATCTAGTGATCATAAGATGAAGCACAAAGTTAAAAAAAGGTATATCGATTTTTTTCCTATTGACCTACACAATTCTGTATGACACAGCGTCCATAGCACAACAAGTTCATGCACGGCCATACAAAAATCAGTTGAGTTAAATAAATTAATTAAAATTTTGAATAATAAGCTACTATTTACGGATATACAAGCACGGGCATGTACACTATAATTAATATAATGACAAGATATTATAAATGAGTTTGAGAGATAGTAAGTGCAAATCGCTATGTTTAAATTCAAGCGAAAGCTAAAACTTTATTTTCGAAATGAACAGTTGAAAATTCCATCTAAATATCTAAATCTCAATTTGGTTGATATAGTTAATTATTACATATTGTAGGAAATTTATGCAACTTGCTTTAAGGCAAAATGCCATTTTCAATTAGTTTTATATTAAAAATAACGTTTCTTTAATAAAAAAAGTACGCCAAGTTTAAATATGAATTTGAATCACGAACGTATTTAAAATAAATGAGTTTAAAAAAAAATAAAAATGACAATTTTATATGTCAATGACCTACGATTTTTGTAGTAATGTTAAGAATAAAAGTCATTATTAAGTTTTTCTAAATAAAATAGACTTCATGAGAAAACAAAAAATAATCACCACTTTGTTGACATTTTAAATTTCATTAAAAATAAATAAACTGAAGATAAAAAAATTAATATGCTTCTGAAGAGATTATAAACTCTTATGTATAAACTTATAAGGTTATATTAATTTATATGGAAACTAAACTAAACACATATATATATATACATTAGTATTAGCGCTATTAACCATAGTAATAAATATAAGTAAGTAACATTAATACTTACTTTTGTTTTGTTCTGTCCGTTTAATATATCAACTATTGACTTGGTCTCAGATAGATAAAAATATTCCCTTTTATTGATAATTTCATTTAGTCTTGGCAGTACATTTTCATCCAATTTTGTGAAATCGCTTGAACAAAATATCAAAAAAACTTTCACATCTTCAACAATTGTTTTAAACTTTTCTTCATTTGGAGTACTAAATACATGGTTTTCAAAGTTTCTCAATGATTGAGGTCCCCAAAATAAATGCGAACCGGAAAAGGCTGAATTAATAGGATAAAATATAGTGAAAATAATCAACAAGCATGATACGTCAAACATTTTGTCATCACATCGAGTGCAATTTTATAACCAAGTAAATTTCTACAACAAATGCGCATGCGCGATATCATCGATTGTATGTATCAACTACGCAATCTTGACATCAATTTAATTGTATTACTTATAAATTGTATTAAACATTTCTTTTTATTCAATATAATATATTTTCATACATATATATATATACGAGTATACTTATATATATATATATATATATATATATATATATATATATATATATATATATACATATATGTTATACATCTATGTAAATATGTACATATACATATGAAAAAACGAAAACGCTGTTTGGTTATATCTGGTTATTAAAATGGAAAGTAGTTGTGCAAAAGATATTCAAATTTTTTTCAGAACTTTCAAAAAAATTGATTATTGAAAGTTTTAAATTACAAAAAAATGACCATTTTGAAAAATTAAAATGGTTTTTATACTTAATTACGTGTAGCCAAATTCCTCACAGAAGTATTTTTTAAAATTTATTTTTAATACTTTATTTAATATATTTTTCATACTTCAAATATACTTGCGTTGAATAGAAATGAAATGTATATGGACATATATTATTTATCGATTTATTATTTCTTTAATAATAACTGTATAAAATATATTAACATTGTATAAAATCCAAAAAGGTATTGAATTAAAATTAAAATACTTTTTATTGCCGACATTAATATATAAAAAATATTGAAATCGTGAAAGTTTTTTATACATTGAAATATTTATTTATTTATTTATTTATTTATTTATTTATTTATTTATTTAAATATATAGCCCACAGATTACTCCAAGAGGACTCAAAAATAACAATTAAAATATATACAAAATTACAATATATAGTTATTAACATAAAATACATATAATGCAGAACGTAACAATATTATTTATAAACAGAATAAGATAAAATAATGAGATATTTGAAAAGAAAATAAAAAGGTTAACTTGTGCAGATGGAGATTATTTGATTAGGTGAAGTGTTGTGAATATCTATTTCATTATTAATTAAGTTAAAGTTAGAGGACATAAGTAAAATAGGCAAATTTAAGAGAGAATTAGATTTAGGAATAGGATAATTGAAAAATAATTGTGAACGCGTAGATAGCCTTGGAACATTAAAGGATAGTTGGTTAAGAATAAGAGGGCAGTCTATAGAATTATTGCAAAGTTTAAATAAGAACATAATTGTACTTATAAATCGACGTGAGGCAAGGGAAGGAATACCAAATTCTTTTAGTAAAGTGTTGTGGTCAAAGCCACGTTCAGGGTAAATTTTATATTTTTTTTTTTTTTTTTTTTTTTTTTTTTGTTACAATTTATTTTTGTTAATCAAGACTTTAATGTCTTATTTACAAAATTGATATGAGCAAAAAAAAATACAAAAACAACAAAAATGCAATACATTGAATATAAAATGAAAAATGATAAAATAAAAATTAAATTAAAACAGTAATACAAAAATAATAACATAAATGAACGATGACGTGATGATGTATGCCGCGTACTACGTCAGGACGCGTGCAGACATTGGGCTAGGTGTTTGGTAGATCGGAAGGCCATTTCTTGCTCAATCTTCTTATCGGTCTCTGAATCGCTTGAATTGTAGGATTTGTATGCTGGATTAATTTGTTGTTGAAAGATGAACTTCTAATCTTGATCATTTCGTTGACTGTTGAGATTTTCAAATCCTTATGTAGGCAAAAATTCGAAATGTACCAAGGCGCATTAGTAAGGATACGCAGAATTTTATTCTGGCACCTTTGAATGATGTTTATGTTAGATTTGCATGAGCAACCCCATAGTTCGATTCCATAAGTCCAAATGGGCACTATGATAGTTTTATACAAAAGTACCTTGTTATCGAGAGAGATTTCAGATTTCCTTCCAAAAAGCCAGTAAAAATCTTTTATTTTCAGTTGGATTTGTTTCTTTTCATATTCAATGTGCGTTCTCCATGTCAATTCGGAATCAATGTGCATGCCTAAATATTTAACAGAATTGCATAGTGGAATTATTGAATTGTTCATGATGATAGGTGGACTGTTGTGATGTTTTAGAGAAACAATTATGTGCTGAGATTTTTCGATATTGATTTTGATATTCCAATCTAAAAACCATTTTTCGAGACTAGATAAATAATTTTGTAACTGACAAGTTGCTGTTCTAATATCGGAATTGCATGAAATAATTGCTATGTCATCGGCGTAAGTGCATATGGTTAGAAGATCATCTGTGGGCATATCGTTTGTGAAAAGAAGATAAAGTACAGGGCTTAGCACACTGCCCTGTGGTACCCCGCATTCTATATTTCTGATGCTCGAAGTCACATCTTTAATTTTGATTCTAAATTTTCTATTAAGCAAATATGAGCTTAAGATATTGAAGTAGTTTGGAAAAGTTGTTTTGATTTTATATAGGAGTCCTGAGTGCCAAACCTTATCAAAAGCCTGACTAACATCTAAGAATACGGCTACGCTGTGTTCCTTTCTATTCATGGCTTCAAGAATACGAGACACCGTTCTGTTGCATTGTTGAATTGTAGAGTGATTTTTTCTGAAGCCAAACTGATGATGAGGAATCCAACTATCATTCGGATGATCTTCTGACAATCTCTGCAACAAAAGCCTCTCTAAAATTTTCGATAATATCGATAAAAGACTGATAGGACGGTATGAACTAGCAGTGTGATGGTTTTTGTTTGGTTTAGCGATCATAATAATTTCTGCAGTCTTCCACGCTGTGGGCCAATAATTGTATTGAAGTATGGCGTTGAAAATATTCGTTATATATAAAATACCTTTTGTAGGCAATTCTTTTAACATCTTTGGAGTAATTTTATCCATACCCGGCGAAGATCTATTTTAGGGTAAATTTTATATGTTTTATAATAAAGGTATTTCAGAAATTTTCGCTAAACCTTCTCTATCGCATCAGAGTTGTTGGTTTGATGAGGATACCAAATAATCGAACCATATTCTAATTTTGAACGTACAATAGAATAGTACATGCAAATAAGCGCATTGGTAGATTTAAATTGTTTACAATTTCTCAGTATCAAACCTAAAGATTTGTGTGCTCTATTACAAATATCAGTTATATGATCGGTGAAAAACAAACCAGAATCAAATAGAACTCCTAAATTTTATTACATCTATCAATGCTGGTGTTAGAAATTTTATAATCAAAAAGTATTGGAACACGCTTCTGTGAAAAACTGAGAATCTTGCACTTTGATATATTTAAATGTAATTTGTTATAGATACACCAGGAGTGGAAAGAGTCAAGTTGAGACTGTAATAATAAGCAGTCATCAATAGAATTTATTTTGAGATATAGTTTGAGATCGTCTGCAAATAATAAATGTGGACAGCTAATAATATCAGAAATGTCATTAATAAAAATAATAAATGGTAGTGGACCAAGAATGGATCCTTGAGGAACACCTGAACTGATATTTTCAATGTTGCTCAAGAATCCATTAAGATAAACAAACTGTTTAAGCTTATGAAGATAACTCTTAAAAAAATAAATAAGTGAAGAATTAAGACCAATCTTAGATAATTTAGTAAAAAGAATGTTATAATCAATTTTGTCAAAAGCTTTACTGAAATCAGTGTAAATAACATCAACTTGTCCATTAGTGTCAAGATTCTCAGCTATATATTGTTTAATACATATTAAATTTATTATCGTAGAACGGGCAGGCATGAATCCATGTTGAAAAGTAGAAATTAAAGTTCTCACAGAAGGAATTAGTTCTCTATAAATAATTTTTTCAAACACCTTAGCAAAGTTTGATAATAATGATATCGGCCTGTAGTTAGTAATGTTTGATGTATCACCTTGTTTAAAAGTTGGAACTAATCGTGAAATTTTCCAACAATTTGGAAAAGTGTTTGTACGCAATGATAGATTAAATAAACATGCAAGTGGATCAGATAGAGCACATGAGCAATCACGTGTAAAGAAAGATGGAATACCATCAAAACCAAATATTTTGGAGTTCTTAAAACTTGCTATTGCAAGTTGCACAGTACTAGAATCAATTACACCTATATCAATCATGATTCTATCATTATGATCAAATAAAATGGGTATGTCAAGTTTAGGCTGATAAACACTAATAAAGTAAGAATTAAATGCATCAACAATAGCATCAGGAGAATCACAATCTATTAGGAATAATATTAGAAGCAGTCTTATTACGCAAAAAAGACCAGAAATATTTTGGATTAAGCGATAGAGAATTTTCAACGTCAATAATATATGAATTATAGGCATCTTTCATGAGTGTTTTTATTAATTTCCTGTACAATTTAAAATTTTCATAATAGAAAGTGATATTGGTTAACTTATATTTATTATGATAGTATTTCTTCATACGGAGGTTCTTAATAATATCAGAATTAAATCAACGCTTAAATTTATTGGAAGCAATTTTCTTTGTTTTCGAATAAGCTATAAATTGTAGCGTAAAAAAGATCACATGCATCATTAATGTCAGAACATATATACAAAGAACTCCACGATGTATTTAAAATTTCCCTGTAAAGATTAGAATAATCCGCTTTGTGGAAATTGTAATGATAGTTATTTTTATTAAATTGCAAAGTGTTGGGTGTGGGAAAAGAAGATGTAAGGGAAACAGAAATATAAAGAGCAGGATGATAATTGTCCTCAGTTAAAAGGGGTTCGGCATCAGGAATTATGTTGCAAAAGTAAGAACAAAACACTAATATTGATACTGCCACTGATATTGATAACAGAATTATATTGGTTGAGACCAGATAAGTTAATGAAATTATAGATAAAGTTACATTTTGCATTAGTAAGATTATGAGATAATTGATCGAAATGAGAAACATTGAAATCACCAATAATTAAAACATTTTTGTCAGAAACATAAGATTCTAGTAGATCAAGGAAAGCTTCAAAATTCTCAGTAGATATATCAAGTGGAACGTAAACGGTCAGGTCAATAC